AGCGTGCTTCGAATTGTGTGTGTGTATGTGTGTGTGTATGTCTCTCTCTCTCAAAATTAAACATTTAAAAAAGAAAAAAAGGGGGGGGCCTGCAGCTTTCACCTTGGAAAAGCTAGGTGCCGTGTCACAGGGCACCTAGCAGCCCTAATGAAACCTGTGTGCAGCCAGAAAACAAGGCTCCTCTTCAGCGGGCACTGACCTGCTAGCCGTGAGACTACGCCATCTTGGAAGCACATCCTCCAGCCTGAACCAAGCCTCAAGCAACTATACTCCTGCCAAAATCTTGACCACAATCAGATGAGAGACCCTGAGCTAGAAATACACTAAGTTCAAATTCCAGACCCACAGAAAATGTGAAACAATAAATGTTTCTTACAGTAAAGCCACTTAACTTTAGGGGAATTTGTTACGCTGCAATAGGTAACTGAGTCAGATTTTGTTATGAGGGGTGGGATGCTACCATAACTAAAAACCTTAAAATGGGGGAGTTGCAGGGAATTAAGCAATGGGCAAAAGCTAAAAGGCCTTTCAGGAGATTATGAGTGAAGACTAATGAATACTGAAGAGACTGTTACTAGAAACCTTATGGCCTTTCAGGAAGGCTGCTATCCACAGCATAAAAGAAAGTGAGAGAAATTTAATTAAAAATTGGAGAAAAAGGGGTCCTTATTATACAGAAGCTGCAAGTTTAACAACATTGTTGCCTGTGGTAACACAAAGTAGAAAGTGTATTTAATGAATTGGATGATTTAACTAAGGTGATTTTTTTACGTAGTATGTTGAAAATGTAATCTAATTTTTTTGTTTAAAAATATAGGAATACAGAGATAAACTAAATTAGGAAAGGTTACTTGCTGGTTCTGAAAATGCATACAGTATACAAAAAGCAAATAATATAAAAGTAAGGAATGGCTTCCAGACAAAGATCAAAACTAGGCCACTCTCAGAAAACCATTCCAGGAAGAGTAAAGCAAGGGTGTGACTATAAAATCCATTGTTAAGATCAAAGCAACATCCCCAAGAACCTGACGCAGGGCTTCACAGGTATCAAGGTCGTGAAAGACAAAGAACTAAGGAAATATTTATTCCAGAATGAAAAGATTGAAAAACTGAAGAGACATGACAGCTAAAAGTGATCCTGGACTGGATTCTGGCCCAGAAAAAAAGTTTCCCCCTTCAGTAAGGAGGATATTAATGGGGAAAATTTGAATGGGATGTGCAGATTAGCTAATGGTTCTGTAAAAAACGTTAATTTACTGATTCTGATAATTATGCTGTAATCATGTAGGAAATTCCCCTTCCTATTAAAACTACACACTAAGAAGTACACTTAGGTTAAAGGGGTATTATGTTTCTAATTTACTCTCTAGTTATTCAGAAAAAGAGTTTACAGAGAGTCTAACAAGAACAGCAAAGAAGGGAGGGGAGGACACAATAAAGTTTAAATTTCAACATTTTGAAAATTTGGGTGAGTGGCAGAGAGAAATGTGCACTATTTTTCAACTTTTCTCAAAGTCTAAAATTTTTGCAAAATTTTAAGTTAACAAAATTTTAATCCTTCTGGCTGGCTGCCCAACACCTCGGGATGAAGGATCAAATGAATGTCACTTATAAAATCCTCAGGAACTGGCCCCTTTTTAACCAAGTGGTCTCCTGTCACTCTTCAGCCCCACCAAACACACACCCCAGGCATTCTAAAGTGTTGTTCCTGAAAAGACCTTGTCCTCTCTTAACTCTTTGCACATGTAGAAGCTTAAAGCTTTAACGTGAGTGGAAGATTTCCAAAAGGAAAGTACACAAAAAAGGGAAGGGGATGACAGGTAACTCCCAATGCTGAAAACTTTTAGAAAGATACAGAAAAGTAATGACAACTCTGTGAATGAGAGTTTTATTCCTCTGAGAGCCACAGAAATAGCCCAGTTCTCTTCAAAGAAATGAGTATTCCTACAAAACGGTAAGTCAATATCTGAGGTTCACAAAACACTTAACTGCAAACCTATCTGCCACAAACACCCAACATACACTAACAATATGTATGTTGGCAAAAGCTCCTTTATCTGTTGCCAATTATTAATAACAATAAAGTAGAGGGGGGAGGGGGGGACACTGCAGGAGATAATCCCTCACAGCTACAGTAGAGGTGGACAGTTTTCTAGAAAACCTACTTGGAAATGGGCGCATTTCCACATAATACACTGTCACAAATGGTGACTTTGCTCTAAGGTATTGTTAAGTATAATACTGTACTTTTTAATACATTATGGATTAGTTAACATTAACAAGTAGGGAGAGGATGTGTCTGAGGATCATTTGAACTGCATTATCTCAATGCAGTAAATAACTACAGATTTCTAAATAAAGACCTACAAATTAGCTTTCAGAAGAAAATCCCTTCTGAATCTGGGAACCTCCGAACACAACCACATATTGCCATGTCTGATACCTGTCTCCAATTCCTAACTCTGGCCCACAGTCTCACTCTGTTAGCAATGATTCTGTAAGCACAAAAATACTAGGCTTAAAAGAAAATTCTATTTTACGGTGAACATTAAGAGTCTTAGAGGGTATTCTTCTTAAACAATACTTAAATATACAAACTGTGTAATGACTGAATTAAACCCCTCATAAAAATAATTTCAACTCATTTCAAACTTACTTTTCTTCCTTTAAAAATATTTTTTTACATGCAATATATATATGCCATCTTTTCCATTTCATGGAAACTGTCCTTTATTCAAAGTGGTATCTCACTATTACATTTTCCTTTCTCACAATTAATATCTAACCAGTATTAATATATCTTGGGTCACACAAAAATTCTCTGAAAAGCAAAAACTATGTATTTTTTATGTGCTCAGAGTGATTATATAAAAAGGTAATTAATAAATTGTTGATTTCATTTTCAAATAAGTGATCTGGATAGGACAATATTTAGTATGAAATATTCTTTATGACCACTTATTTATAATTTAATACAAGATATTTAAAATGTTTTTAAAACATGTGCCAGTATGAAGGCAGATAGAAAAAATTCAAAGAGAGAGTGACTCCAACATATCTAATGAAGAAGGTCACCAAAATTTAGCCCACAATATACAGTATTCTAAAATACTAAAATCTGAATGGATTGCAAGTGCAACATTTTATAACACGGTAAGAATAACGGAGGTAAACCTACTAGATATTAAAATCTCAAAAGAGATAAAGAGAGATAGGGGGTAAGAGGGTCTATAATACCCAATCTTTCTCAGCTGTATTATCACTTAGCATCATACCGTAATGAAAAAAGTCCCTTTCCAAATATTCCCGTGGCAAGCAAACAAGTCCAACAATAATAAATTTATACTATGTTCACCTCCCAGCCTTTATAGATTATCAGAAAACTATTACAAAATAAAATGTACAAATGATTTTAAGTTGGACAACAAAATCAAGTTATACTAATCTTACACATGCCAAAAGCAAGACGCAAATAGTATTCATATACTAATGAAAATACCAACTGCTAAAATTCATAGCTAAACAGGTCTGACTAAATACAATGTTTTTACCCTAGTATTCAACGGCAAAAAAAAAAAAGCTCGTAAAAGGAAAAAATCTCATTCCTAGAACAATAAAAAGATAAATATAGTCATTAGCACTGTATTTATTAAACACTGTACTACATTTAATAGCTGACCATTAAAGATAACCACGACAGGGCATGTATTAGGATAAACGTGATCAGACCATAAACACTTCTTTAAACAAGTTAATGCTCATGAAATGGCTGAAGAGAAGAGTATCATCAGTAGGACTTCCCTCTTCACCACTTACACTAAGCCCTACCTGTACCCCTCATTCATGGATTAAAATAAGTTTACATAAAATCTCACAGTGCTTCTTAGTAAAACTACTAATTAAACCCAATCTGCCATTTTCCCATCAGTAATCCAAACAATAGACAGCAAAATAGAACCCTATAATTGTCATCATCACAAAACCACCTCATTAAAGAAATCAAGATGAATATGTACACTTGCTGCCTAAGGTTTATAAAACATGTATATATATATATATATACACACACACACACACACACCTAACAAAGGCTATAAAGGGAAATATAGTTATAATTATTTCACTTATAACTGAAAATCTAACTTCAAAATTAAAAATTTAAGCTTTTAAAATGTTTACCTTAAAAAAAGGTACAAACATTAATTCAAACCAAATCTGTTCCCCAATCCTAAGTATTTACAAACATGAAGAGGTTCCAAACTAGTTTATACCAACTGTTTAAGAGTAATATTGCTTTCTAATTGAAGATGTCTTTTTTATCCTCACTTCATTAAAAACAATTCGCAGTAGTATCCTTTTCCATGTTGGCAATATATCCTATGAACAATTCTACTGTACTTATTTCACTAAAAATTACTCATATTCTTTAAAATAAATAAAAATGTAAGCAGAAAATAGATAAGTGAGAGAAAGACAGATTAGTATCAGGCAAGCTTTTAGTGCTTTATTAAAAGACAAAATATTTTCAAACAAATGTTATTACATTTGGCCATTAAAAAATAATAATAATAAACCATTATTAGCACCACTGGGGGAGAAAAACAGTCAAGAATATACAGAACTTCAAAACTGTTCCATTATAAAGTGAAAAAGATGAGGAGATTTTTACTTACATGTGAAACAGTCTGTTAATAATGTATAGCCACAAATGCTGAAGCCACCTAAAGATTTCATAAGATGATCACAGTAACACATGCAAGAAATCTCTCATGCTTTGCATCAAGTTGTACTTAAAATATTCAGGAGAAACAGGTACATACAAACATATTCACAAATATGGCATTATTTTAAACCTATTCTTGACCTTATACTCTCAATTAGTCAAAAATTCCAGTATTTCAATGTCTCAACCCAGCTATCAAGAACTTAATTTTATCTAAAAAAGGGGAAAAACTATTAAGCAGATGTGCTACATATATAGCAACAACAAATCCACTTACTTTTTTCTCTTTCTCATGATGTTTATCCTGAGAGTGAGAGGAAGAATCACTTAAACTTTGATCATATGACCTATTAGATCCCCGTTTGCTCTTTTTCTAAAAAAGAAAATATATATACATACATGTATATGTATATAAAAAATTCTTAAATAATCTTTTTGTTAGGCTTAAACCAATTCATGTGTGTAGTATTTAAAAATGTTTACTGAAATAAAAAACAAAAAACAAAAACAAAAAAAAAACAAAAACAAAAAACACCTTGCTATTTATTTCAAGCTATATATCCAATTTAGACACCATTCATATACTGTCGATTGCATTATAAAGGAAAACCTAAACCTAAATTTAACATTAATGCCATATTTTTTGTACATTTATTAAAATGTGTGAAAATAGATTATATTTTCAAATAAGCAGGAGCTTATTTGTCACTTTATCACAAAACCACCTCTTAAAAAAACAACTGTAATTTTCAATGTCTTCTTTAAAAATGAAAAGGAGTTCTAACCAAAATAGAGAATGCCATACTGAGGAAGGATGCCAAGACTAGAAGAAAAGAAAAGAAAATATTTGAAGAGTTACTTTTCTGCCACACTAGGAAAAGCAAGAAGCCTTTGTATCTCATACCTTCGGTATTAAGGCATAGTTTTCTAAAAACTTATCTCTGCAATTCATTAAGAAAAAAATTAAAGGAAATGTCAGCATTAGACCCATGCATTTCTCAAAGCACTACTAAAAGAATGCACATATCTGTTTAAAATACTTAAACAACTTCATAATAAAGTATGACAGTGAGAGTTATTTGAGGTATTTAAAACTGGGTAGTACCACAACTAGTTCAAATTAGACAAAAATGACTATGAAAGGCATTCAAATTCCCTGCAAATGTAGATTAAATAATCTTATTAAATTAGACTTTTCCTCCCTAACTAGTAAATTGGATAACAATATGTCAATAACTAGCAATAAGAAAGTTCAATTTACAGAAACTCATAATCCATTTTCATTATTTCTGTATTTTGATCTGTATCATCTTCAATTTAGAAACTTAGGAATCCAATATGCTTCTAACATCTAGGAAGCAAAACTGTCAAATTTTACTATCTCAAAATTAGTCTTAAAACACTTCGATATTCTTTGTCCTTAAAATAAATAAAAGTTTTTCAATATCAAACAATATATTGACACAATCTAAGTATTTTATATGCATGAACTAGAAGAGAATCATGAGCTGATTTCATGAGTAAGGGGCCCTTACTATTTATTTTAAAAAAAGGAATAAAAAAATAGCCCCATACACAAAGGAAAGTAAAAAAATAATTAATACACTAAAGAAAAACAAAGACTTAAACTTTCATGTACAAATCTGTCATCATTGAAGACTCAAAAATCAGACACTTAGGACATTAAATATCAATCCTTCAAAGGAACATGGACATAATATATGTAACAGCTAATCAAATGCTACCAATTCATTCATGTAACAGTAAAAATTGGCAAAAACCTAAAATATTCCCAAAGTGTATTTAAATACATTTTTCTCAACATCTTCAACCAAAAAGTTACAAAACAGCTGTTTTGGTTTTTCTATCTCCTAGTAAATAAAAATGAAAATAAATAATAGTGATGTAGCAAAACGATGAGTAACAAGCGAGAAAAATCACCATAGTAAGATTGCAGAGTCCTTTACATATACTTTTTCTACTAAATGTATCCTAACATTTACTATTAGTTATTAATAGAAATTATTTTATAATATTCACTATCATAAATGAACCAAAGCAAAGCAAAATCTTTAAGAATTACTAAGTCTTTTAAATCCCAGTGAAGAACATGCTAAGCAAACAATTTCACGCAACAATCAAGAGAAAAGGAACAGCTATTATGCCTTTTTTATAAAACAGAACAAGCCTACTGTCAAAACTATATGTTATCATTTTAATATTAAATTCAAGATAAATTCTTACCAGCTTGCTAAAATGGTATTTACAGTAGCCACAGTATTGGACATTATCTGCACCATTACCTTCTTCTTCACAAAGTAGTCCAGCAAACTGAGCACTGAAAATAAAAGCCAAAATACATATACATATAAATATAACACCACGTACATTAAATCTCAAACTGCAAAACATTAAAAAAAATTTTTAAGGGGGGGGGCACACCTGACGCTTAGTCAGTTAAGCGTCCAACTTCGGCTCAGGTCATGATCTCACAGTTTGTGGGTTCGAACCCCGCATCAGACTCTGTGCTGATAGATAGCTCAGAGCCTGGAGCCTGTTTCAGATTCTGTATCTCCCTCTCTCTCTGACTCTCCCCTGCTCATGCTCACTTACTCGCTCGCTCTCTCTCTCTCTCTCTCTCTCTCAGAAATAAATAAAACATTAAAAACTTAAATCTCAAACTACATTATATATACTATTATATATATAATATGTACACATATATGTATATATAACATGTACATTATATATAATATCTACATTATATATATAACATATGGTGTGTATTTATTTATACATATATATATATATATATATATAGAGAGAGAGAGAGAGAGAGAGAGAGAGGGAGAGAGAGAGAGGGAGGGAGGGAGAGGGAGAGTGTGTGTATTAAAATTCACTTCCAAGCAAGTAAGGTTCATAATTAAACCTTACACATCTCCTAAGAGAAAAGGGGGGAAATTAAAAGCTTTTTTCTTACTGTGATCAAGTACATATTTTTTAAAGTAATATTTGTAGTTTACAATAAACTTCCGATCCATCCAGCTCTAATAAGAATGAAGAGTTATGCAGGTTTTATGTCACCAAATAGACATTAAATTGTTTTAAGATACCTCCCACCCCATCTTATTCCTTCACTCTAAATCACAGGTACAAACAGAAAGATCAGGTTTCTCAAGGACTGAAATGACTTGAGATGGGATGTGACCAATGGATGCAGATTATACAAGCAAAATGCTTCAAGTCATACAACCATACAGAAAGCAAGAAAAACAAAAGCTGTGTTTTACAGTCAAAAACAATAGAAGAAATGGAACTGAAACCTAAAGTTATGATATTCATTTAAAAAGAACACAAAGTGCTAAAGTTTATAATCTTTCATTATCTTGTCAATCTGACCTTCAACTTTTAACATTCCAAAGTTACAGTAGTATTAGTATATATCTTTACCCAAGAAAGAATTTTCATCTTAGAAAAATTAGGTTCATTATTAACAGAATTTCCAAAACCAAAAACCTTTTCCATTCCCCAAAAGTAATCTAAAATGGACTTCTTAAATCCATACACTAAAAGCTCAGGAAATAAGCATGTGCCTGTACTGGCTGCTAAATACCCACTATTTCCTAAAAGTAACAAGTCATTGGATTATTCCCAAACTTTAATTTTGAACTGTTGTCTATTCTGTTGAATATTTTATTTTAGGATAATTTTTGCTCTTGAAATTTTGTGCCAAAAAAGTATCCAAATAACTTCTTAGCAAGTAGCCACCAGCATACTGAGAATATGATACTGACTGTTTTTCCCCCATCCCCCACTTCAAACAGGCAGTGAAAAAACACAATCATTGATTAAAATCCTTACTAATTTCATCCACGGCACTAAGTTTACCTATATCAGCTCTTTCAGTCCTAACAACAAATGAAAGGTTAGGTAACAAACACCAATATTTTAAACAAAATGAAAACTAAATAAGACATGAGAACCAGAGTCCACTTATTGAAAGTCTGCTCTGCTAAATTCAATTATTAGAATCATCTTTATTAGGGGTGCCTGGGTGGCTCAGTCAGTTGAGCGTCTGACTTCAGCTCAGGTCATGATCTCGTGGTTCATGGGTTCGAGCCCTGCATCAGGCTCTGTGCTGACAGCTCAGAGCCTGGAGCCTGCTTCAGATTCTGTGTCTCCCCTACTCTCTGACCCTCCCCTGCTCAAGCTGTTTCTCTCTCTCAGAAATTAAAAAAAAAAAAACTAAAAAAGAAAAGAATCATCTTCATTAGAAGAAAATGTTTGTAAACATAGAAACCACCCCAATAAAATTTACTGCAAATATCTGAGTACCCAAGCTTTTAATTTACAAGATATTCCCCTGTCCCAAGCACAAGAACTTCGGTTTTGTGCAGCGATAGATGCATACTTACCACGTCACATGGAAAGCCTGCCGACATCCATGTTTGTTACATGTCATGCAAGCCCCAGTGGCTGCTTTGCTTTCTCGTCCTTGTTCATCACAAATGTAGCAAGTCTTAGGATAAAAAAAAATAAACAAAATGAAGGAAAAACCTTACAAGTGCTTTATAGAAATGCATTTTACAATTATCTTCAGAAGTCAAGATTAGGTTTACTGTCTAACCTACTTTACTTCAAAACATGAATTCATTTTTTCTGTCAGTAATCTAATTTTTACCAACATGAAAACATAACCAAGGACATGTAAAAGGTCCTAGCAGGATTTCACGAAGGCCCAGTCTTCCTTAGGCTCAACCCCCTGCATGAGAGGAAGACCCGTCACAGGCAGTAAGGCCAGGGGCCAGGACACAGCCTGCGATACCTTGCTCTTAAAACTTCCTCACAAGGGGCGCCTGGGTGGCTCAGTCGGTTAAGCGTCCGACTTTCGCTTAGGTCATAATCTCGCGGTTCGTGGGTTCGAGCCCCACGTCGGGCCCTGTGCTGACTGCCAGCTCGGAGCCTGAAGCCTGTTTCGGTCTGACTCCCTCTCTCTCTGACCCTCCCCTGCTCGCGCTGTCTCTCTCTCTCTCTCTCTCTCTCTCCTAGAAATAAATAAAACATTAAAAAAAAAAAAAAAAAACTTCCTCACCAATATTCAACTGTCTTCTGTGTTGAGTGTAAAAAGAAGTTGTCCTCTCTCTCTGCATATGGCCAATAGACACTCCCACCAACTTTGACTTACATCTGGTCCTTTTCTAGGTAAAAGTAGCTGATAAACAGTACCACCTTTTCATAAAAGACTTAACTATATAAATGGCAATCTACGAGTATCAGTGTACATAATGAAAAAAATTAATCAGCTGACTAGAGAAGTTGAGTATACAAAAATTAATGTCTACATAAAATCAGGTAATACACTTCTAAAAAGAAACCAATCTCTGAACCGTAACGAGGTATAACCTAGCCAGCTTCAGTGGGACTACATGTATTTTTTTAAACCTAGAGAGATTTGCCCCAGTATGCACTGTAGTGCCAAACTAACACAATTTAACAATATTTACAAGAACACGGTTCTCAAAAGTGTCTAGTATCGAGTCAGGTAGGTTAATTTAAACTCCTCTGCTGAAAAACAAGGATTCATACTGAACTGAACTACATTCTTTTGGGGGGGCGCCTGGGTGGTTCAGTTACTTAAGTGCCCAACTTTGGCTCAGATCATGATCTCGTGGTCCATAGACTCAAGCCCGGCATGGGGCTTGGAGCCTAGAGCCTCCTTCTTATTCTGTGTCTCCCTCTCTCTGCCCACCCCCCCCCCCATTTGCACTTTGTCTCTCTGTCTCAAAAATAAACGTTAAAAAAATTGTTTAAGATTATTTTATTTTTGAAAGAGAGCACATGGGAGGGGCAGAGAGAGAAAGATGGAGGAAGGGAGGGAGGGGGAGAGAAGGAAGGGGGGAGGGGGAGGGGGAGAGAGAGAGAGAGAGAGAGAGAGAGAGGGAGAGAGAGAGAATATGAGAATTGCAAGCAGGCTCTGTACTGTTGTTGGCACAAAGCCTGATGCAGGGCTCAAACACACCATCCGTGAGATCATGATCTGAGCTGAAATCAAGACCTGGATGCTTAAACCGCCTGAGCCACCCGAGTGCCCCTACAAAAATTATTTTAGAGGCACCTGGGTGGTTCAGTTGGTTAAGCATCTGACTTCGACCCAGGTCATGATCTCACTGTTTGTGTACTGGGGACCCATGTCGGGCTCTGTGCTGACGGCTCAGAGCCTGGAGCCTGTTTCAGATTCTGTGTCTCCTCCTCTCTCTGCCCCTCCCCTGCTCATGCTCTGTCTCTCACTCTCTCTCCAAAAGTAAAGTTACTTTTAAAACTTATTTTATACCTCTAATAAGTAAAATCCTAAGTTACAACAAAACCAACCCAGGTGCACTGAATAAGAGTATCTCTACCGGTTCAAATTACAAAAAGAAAGTATCAAACAATTAGAATGGGAAAATGTAACATACATTTTTTTAACCCACAAATAATCAAGATTAAAAAAAGTGCAGAGTGAAACAGTAACATTTTATATATAGCAAAACTCATGGAAAATATGTAAGTGGGCCTTAAAGAATCTCTCAGTAACTTCCAACACAAACGGTGAAAAGACACCACCTTTGGACAATTTAATAAAACTAAAAATTATGATGAATATTAAAAAGAGAGGGAGAGAAAAGGACTTCCAGACTCCTGGAATGGCAGAGTGAGAGCTCCACAGATCCTCTCTCCAGTGAATCAACCACTTCCAAAATTGGGGGAGGAGGGGTCCTCTGGCTGGGAAGATAAAGCTCTCTCCCCTCAGCTCCTATAGTCTAAAGCTATAGATTTACCCCAGAAGAACCAGCCTCCAGTGACTCTCCTCCCACTCTGACGACGGGACCCATAGCCTGCCCCAGCTTGCTAGTAAAATGGGAATTTCATGGGAGGAGCAATGAGTTGAGAAAACCAGGGGCTACAATACCCTTTCCTCCTCCCAGCACGCTGCTGGGAGTACACGATCCCTTCAGGGGAAGCACAGTGCTGTCCCCATCCCCAGTTCCAGAGTAGGAACCTAGAGATTCTCAGAAAGGCACATGGGCATGCGTGGGGGGAAGGGGCGGTCTTCAGAACAAAGAGCTCAGCAGCTCTCCCTGAGAGGACTGTCTTTATTTGGAACAGGGCTTAGGAAAATTTGAGGGTACTATCAAAACCACTTAGGTGGCAAGCAATGAAGACAGGAATGGTAGCTCCAAGATACTAGTAGAAACAAGCAAAACCAGCCTGAAAATTAACAGAGAGAAGGAGAGAAAGACAACAAATAAGGGCTCTCCTAGGATCACAAGCACCCCTGGGGTAGGTCTAGAAGGCTATGTACATGAAGTAGGTTGCACCCAATCAGGAAAAATCCAAGTGGGACTTGAGGCAGATGTAAAAGCATTCCCCAAAGCCACATACAAATTCATCAGCCAATAAGGCTCACGAGGCTTTAGTACAACCTATGATCAAAAACTGGCTGAAAAGTAAGTTACTGTGACCCAGAGGCAACTCCTAAGAATCCAAACTTGAAAATAAAATCACAGGGGTGCCTGGGTGGCTCAGTTGGTTAAGCGTCTGACTTCGGCTCAGGTAATGATCTCACGGTTCGTGGGTTCGAGCCCCACGTTGGGCTCTGTGCTGACAGCTTCAGATTCTGTCTCTCCTCTCTCTGACCCTCCCCTGCTCACAGTGTGTGTGTGTGTGTGTGTGTGTGTGTGTGTGTGTGTGTGTCTCAGAAATAAATAAAACATTTTTAAAAAAATATTTTTAAAGAAAATAAAATTACACTCATACATGATGGTCTGAAAGATTGTGTGCATGCTTAAAGTTGCATATTTTCAGGAACAACTGACAAAGAACTTCAGATCTCCTTAAAAAATCACAAAATCACGCACATATTAAGTGATACACAGTGAAAATGTAACTAGCTAACGGGGCTTAATTTAAGCACAATCTAACCACTAGTAAGTGGTTTATGTTGACCCACAGACTCTAGTAAGTCAGGCCAATTCTTTAAAGGACATTTGAGCAGAGCCACCTGAAGCTACACACTGTGGGGAAAACAGACATAAGAAAATTAGTCTAGCTAAGTCATTAAACAAATAAACGACCAAACAAACAACAGGGCCTATAAGGATAAGAAAGGATCATTCTCCAGAGTGACTATATTATCTAAAATGTCCACTTCAACAAAAATTTATAAGATGTGCAAAGAAACAGGACAATGTGACCTATACACAAGAAAAAAAAGCAGACATCAGAGACTGCCTTTGAGGAGGGACCCAGATGTTGGATTTTGAAGACAAAGACTTCAACCAAATAGAAATCTTGAGTTTAAAAAATTCATTAAAGAGGCTTAACAGCAGATTTGAGTTGGCGGTCAGAAAAGAATCAACAGACTTAAAAACAGATCAATAAAGGGGTGCCTGGGTGGCTAAGGGGAGAGCATGTGACTCTTGATCTCGGGGTCATGAGTTCGAGCCCCACACTGGGTGTACAAATTACTTAAAAATAAATAAACTTTTAAAAAATAGATCAATGAAGATTATACAATCTGAAGAGGAAACTTCTTTAGATTATACTAAAGTACAATTTCCAAAAAATGTGGGATACCATTAAGTACATCAATAGATGTATACTGAGAAAACAAGGAGACGAAGAAAGGGACAGAAACTGTATCTAAAGAAATAATGGCTACAAACTTCCCAAATCTGATTAAAACCAATAATCTACAATTGTAAAAATCTTAATAAACACAAAGAGATCCACACTCAAAATGATCAAAGCCAAAACAAACAAACAAATCTTAAAAGCAACAAGAGAAAAATGGCTCATCACACACAAGGAAACTAAAATGTAATTAACACCTGAGGTCTCAAGGAAACAATGGAGGACAGAAGGCAGCAGGAAAAGATATTCAAAATGCTTAAAGAACAAAACTATCAACCACGAGTCCAACATCCAGCAAAGCTATATTGCAGAAATAAAGATACAATAAGGACAAGACTAAACAAACAAAAACTGAGATATTTTGTTGCTCTAATCCTGACCAACAAGAAATACTAAAGGAAGTTCTTTAGGCTAAAATCAAGCGACACTACACAATAATTGCAACACACACACACACACACACACACACACACACACACAGAGCTCCAGTCAATTTTACATTAATAGAGCTGAAATCTTAAAAAATAAATCTAACAGACCAATTAAAAAACACACATTAGAGCTTCTAACAAAGAGACTTATAGAAAATGATAAAAGACAGTATGATTAGATATTCTTCTCTTAATTCAAAAGATAGCAGCATAAAACCAAGCCCATAAATTGTATTGTTGGGACTGTAACAGAAAAATGCAATATATTTCACAATGACAACACAATGAAAGAGGGTGGGAATAAAAATATATCGGAGTAAGGAAGTAACACCAGACAGTAACTTGAATCCACAGATGAAGAGAAACACAAAAAACAAATGGTATCTAGCAATACATACATACATACATACACACA